GTTACTACATCACGAACACTTTCGGTCATCTGATACAATTACTTGTCTGCATTTTAAATTAGCCTTTTTTCTTATTTCCACTTGTTCTATAGGCACTGCCTTGTCCTTAAAAACTCGACCTTGCAAGTAAACTGCGCAATTCTAGTAAAAAATTGCGCGCTCATCAAATTCAGTTCACGTTATTTATCAATTGGAAGCTACTTTCACCTTCTCTCACTGCGTCTGTGGACCGAAAGTTGATTAGTTGCAGTCCTAAAAATTTTCAATGAAAGGGTAGGATTAACAACTTCTACTTCCCTTTGGGCACTATTTGACAGGATTTGTAAATGTCAGATACGGGATAGGAACCTCGTTCCGCTTACCCAAGTCCTACCCGTCAGCTTCTTTCTCTATAGGCGAAATTTGTCTTGTGCATTTTTAAACTAAATCTGGGCTATTTTTCTGTAATCTCGGTCCATTATTGTGAGCATTAGAGCCAGACCTCTCTGGGGCAATCCTTTGCTATTTCATTTTCGCTAAGGCCTTTGCCAACTCTCAATCGTCCCACGCTAGAGCATTAGTAATCGCGTCTGCCGAAGATCTGCCGAGAAATTTGGTTGTGTTGGAGGCGAGAGGATTTCTACTCCCAACACATTCCGATAAACTAACCTTCATTGTTGATGGTTTTGTTTCAGATAACATTAAGTTAGTCTATGTGATACAATTCATGATTTGTGACTTCTTTCACATAATTGCAAAACGTATGTTGAGGGGAAATAATTTTCCTTATTATATGTGTGTATGAAAGCGTTCCTCCACTTCTTTCCAATATCTCTCAGTAGAAGCACGATGTCATGAATTGAATCATTCCTCTGTCCAAATCTCGTCTATTGAGCGCCCGAAATTGTGAGGCATCCGAAATCCAGTTTACATTAATAACGCGTAGGAGACGTCACTTTAGTCCAAATCCCGCTCCTCCCCTCCTCCTTCCTTTTTTCCTTGGGACGGCACCTGCGAAGACATCTCAGTCCAGTCATCCACTTTGTTGTCTATGCGCCGCATGCTTGGACCGCCCATTGTCGGCGGAATATCAGTCGCTCCCCTCTCCCAACATTTTCGTTAATGTAGCAAGTGTCTGCTATGTGTGTGGGTGTTTGTGGTAGACTTAGTTAACTCGGTTTTTAAGGCAAACTTTACGTACATAAAGGTTTTTTTATCATAGGGTTGAGTTCTCGCACATCAAATAACTGCCATCAGCACAACACTCACCATTTCATCACACGGGAAAAAAGGGGTTAAGCGGTTGTC